CACACCTTCAACTCTACAGCCCCAGGCACCCACTGATCTGCCTTCTGTTTCTATAGATTTGTCTGTTGCAGACATTTCACGTAAATGGTGTCATATACCATATGGCCTTCTGTGATTGGCTTCTTTCACTTAGCACAATATTAAATGATTAGTAGTTCCTTCCTGTTTTATGGCCAAATAATATTCTGGTGTATGGATGTACCACCTTTTATTTATCCATTCATAGACATTTGGGTTGTTCTCTTTTCGGGCTATTGGGACTAATGCTATGAACATTCGTGGATAAGTGCTGTATGGACATATGTGTTCATTTCTCTTGGGTACATACCTAGGAGTGGAATTGCTGGGTCACATGATAACTCTCCGCTCCCCATGTTGAGATGCTGCCAAACCGTTTTTCCAGTGAGAAACAAGGAAAGATCCACACCTGAGGAATGTCGAAGGGGCAGGAATGATGCCCGAGGCTTGCTGCTCTTAGCCCTCCAGGAATTACTAAATGGATTGGATCCGAACAGGAGGTCACGTTCTGCATGTGGAATGAAGCCAGTGCCCAGACCCTCACCCTGGCTTCCCGCCCACACCACCCAATTATGCCCAGCGCTGCTGTTCCTCAGAGCTTTCTTCTTCCCGGTGCTAGTTGTCAGGTAAAACTGAGGTTGTGGCAACTGAAGTTACCTCCCAGTGTGAAGCGCTACGTGTTCAGCATTGCTGCACTAAGCCATCTTGCCACTCACCCGAGCTCCCAGCTTACTGCAGACACAGGACTTGGCGTCCCGGGGAGGTCTCCCTTGGCTGCCATGGGTCTTCCTAAGATGGAGCCAAGGTGTCTTTTTTTTTTTTTTTAAGATTTATTTTTTATTTGAGAGGGAGAAAGAAAATCTCAAGCAGACTCCCTGTTGAGCAGAGAGCCCCACCACGGGGCTCCATCCCATGACCCTCAGATCATGACCTGAGCTGAAATCAGGAGTCAGATGCTGAACTGACTGAGCCGGCCGGGTGCCCGAAGGTGGAACGATGTGCATTAAGATCTTGGCCACGCTGTGACTGCTGGGAGTGCCCAGGAGGAGCGAGCCGAGCATTGCAGCTTGTACAAAACCTTTGAGAACTATGGCTATACACAGGGAGAAAACCATCTGTTTTCTTTCTTTCTTCTTTCTCTTTTTCTTTTCCTTTTTCTTTTTCTCTTTCTTTCTTTCTTTCTTTCTTTCTTTCTTTCTTTCTTTCTTCTTTCTTTCTTTCTTTTTTAGATTTTGATTTATTTGAAAGAGGGAGCGCCCACGGAATTGGGGGAAGGGCAGAGGGAGAGGGAGAGACAGAATCCCGAGCAGACTTCCCACTGAGTGCAGAGCCTGATACGGGACTCAGTCCCACGACTCTGAGATCACGACCTGAGCCAAAGGCAGACGCTTAACCGACTGAGCTCCCGGGCACCCCGACCCTTTGTGTCTATTAAGTAGAAAAGGTAAGACTGAGGTTGTGGCCAGTGCGGTTGGTTACCACCCAACAGCCACACTCACTGCTGGAAGCTCAGATCTTGGGTCACTAAGGTGCCCAGCGGGGCTGAGTTGTGGCCATTGCTTTCCTCTTTGTCCACAATTGGTTTAGGATTGGCAAACAGCCCAGGTCTGGCCAAAGAGATGTCAAAGAAAATTTTCTGGGGGGTATTCTGCAAAAGGGTTTCCTCTCTGATGAACAGGAGGCTTGCAAGGAAAGCTCTGCCACTTCTTTCCTGCGTTGGAAGTCGTTGAGCGATGACACAGTTCTGGAACTCCTGAGCGATGACATCATCACGTGACCCTGGGCTGGGAGAGGGTAGTGAGGAAGGGGGAAAAGGGATGCAGGGATACCAACTCAGACCTGTCATTGTGGAGTTATTGAACCAATCATCTACTTCAGATGTCTTGTTACATGAAAAAAAAAAAAAAGGTCTCAAAAAAGTCAGCATAATGGGCATCCGGTGGCTTGCAGCTGAAAGCTCCTGACAGAGAAGCAAGCTTGAAACCCTGCCGCAGAGAAAACCAGGAGAGGTCACTGAGACTTTCACCCTGTCCAGGCAGGGCACCTGTCTAACCCGACCTGGACATAGGTGCACCCGAGCTCTCTAAGCCTCAGCCGGGAAATTCACGGGCCTCCTGTCTCTTCCTGTAGCACTTCCCCCTCCTCCTCACTCCAGGACGACCTCACTGCCTCGCAATGAGAGGGCCTTGGGGACCGGACCGCCCAGCAAAGGGGGCCAGCCCGTCCCTACAAGTCCCTGCCTTTGTGTGGGATGGTGGTCAAGAGAGGGAGCTCCGGAGTCCTGCTGTATATCCTAGGCTAGGTACTTACTCTCCATGACTCGGTGTCTCCACCTGCCATGGGGAGAACAGTGCCTCGCTCACAAGGTGATTGTGGATGAAATGTCAAGTGCCTCTGACACGGTGTCATGGGTCCCCAAGACCACCTCAAGTTCAATGATTGACTAGAACTCTTCTCAGAGTAAAAAGAGCTGTTATACACGTGATTACAGTTTATTACAACTGCTGGATTCACGGTCCCCTCCAACAGTTAAGAGAGGGTTAGGATGAATGAATTCTCTGGGCCAGTACTAGCCACGAAGGATAGATGCTAGCAGGAAGCTGGTTTCAGTCCTGGGGAAGAAACAAAACCACCGTGGGAGGGGCTCGTGTGCCCTGCAGTAAGGGGTGGCTCAGCAGCTGTGGGATGCCCCAATCTTGCACGTTCAAAGAAAGGTCTGGTTCCCCCATGGGCTCCTGGGAGATAACCTCTAAGCCCTTGCAATCTGCTGTCTGATAAGACTGTCTTTGTTTACCTGGGGCCTTGGGCCACACCAGATAGTTAATGCTAACAATGTGATTCACTCTGTGTCAGCTTGACCTGGGGAGGGGCTAGAGACTGAGTGAGCAAGGTCAGCCACGGGGTGCTCCAGGCCAGGTGAGGAACCACCAGTAAACACCCTGGACACCAAGACTCGGGTGAGCCCCCATGGCTGACAGTACTCCATATGCGTTGTCACATCTTGCTGCCGGGAAAATTAAGCATGGTCCCCACAGTTCTGTTGGGAGGAGACAACTGGACGCTTATACCTGGTCTCTCCTGGACTCCACCCTGTGCTTCTTTGACCTTTTTTCGCAGAACTCCCATGAACACCATCGATCCTGAGCTGCCGTATTAACACACTGAACCTGCAGTTGATGCAAAGCCTTTTCCACATGAATTCGCATTAGAGCCAATTTTCTTGTACAAAGCAGCTGATTTTTTTTTTTTAACTGAGCGCTACACGCAGTGTGGGGCTTGAACTCACAACCCTGAGATCAAGAGTCCCATGCTCTACTGATCGAGACAGCCAGGGGCCCCAGCATTTGATTTTTTAAACCTCTTCTTCTATTTGGTCAATCAAGTTCTTCTTCTCAGATACATTTGTACGCACACACGCATCCCCCACAAGGCCTAAAGGTATAGGAATCTCCCCCACAAAACAGTCCTTTCTCCCAGAGCTCACCTCAGCAATATCAGGATGCTCATCTCATCTACTCAAGGAGTGCTTAGCAGATATTCATAAAGTTCCCAAAATACTCTATATTGGTTAAAACAAGCAAGGCCTCTAAAGTTAGACATTCCTAGGCTCAAATCTCAGCCCTAACCACTTACCAGCTGTGTGACCTTGGGCGACTTTGCCTCTGAGCTATGGTTTCCTCAGTCTGAAAGTGAAGGTTACGGCCACACCTGCCTTCAAGGGGCTGAGCCTGGGGCCTGGAAAACAGCACAGTCTTGACAACTGTGAGCCAGCAGCAGGGGTGGTGATGGCTCTTATCTCTATTACTATTCCTTCAGCTACACCTTCCAAGGTAGAAGCAGTCTGAAGTTAAAATAGGGATGCAGCCCTCCAGGGTGGACGGTGATGGATGGATATAGCAATCAGCAGTGGGTCACGGGGTCCTTTTGTGAAGGTCAGCATGGGGGTTCCAGTTGTTCGAATCTTGTTGGGAGAAATTCTATGAAACAGGAGGGCAGATGGGGCTGAAGGAGAATGTCAGAGGGTCTGGCATGGGCTATGAGACCCTGACTGGGAGGACAGAGGCCCAGCTTGGCTCAGGTGCTGACTCTGGCCTCCAGGCACCTTGCTTCCGCTGTTTAGGGGAGAATCCCTGTTGCACGGCAGCATTTGGGGCAGTGGGGCGGCGGGGGGGGGGACCAGAGAGAGGATATGCAACTCGATGAAACAGAGTCTCATAGAAAATAAAAAGCACAGTGACAATGAAGGAAACCCCAAGTCACCTCTGTGACCGTCTCAACCCTCCAGGAGAGCAGGTCCATGAAGAGCCTGATGTGGTTCCAAAGGGGCAGCAGGGTGATGAGCACAGGGCACTGGACTTGAACTGCAGTCAGCCGCCCCCTGTGCACAATGGGGAAGCAACACTTGCTCCCAAAGGTGCCTGGAGCAGTAGGTGGGATGGTGCGTGTACACGGCCTGATAAACGTCTGGGCACCGTTACCGTTCCCGCTCGGTGGGTCGGACGTGAAAACCAACCGCACTGCTCTGTAACCCACCTCACGGGGCTCACAGCTCAGTGCACCTGCGCACTAAGCTCTTACGACCCCCACCCATCTGAGCCCTAATGAGCTCAGTCTCTGATCTCTTTGGCCAGACGGCGGACTAAGTGCAGAGGAAGTTCCGGTGCGCCAAAGTCAACAAAGACAAGTGAGATATGACAACTGTCTAACAAGGAAAGCAGGCGGAAAAGCTCACTGGGCCGGGGGAGTTGAACTACAAAGGTACAGTACTCGGAGGCCGCTCGGGGCTCGGGCGAAAGATCGACCCCCCTCAGTGGACCACGCATCGAGTCACGACCAGGAGAGCCTCAAGTCATCAAAAGAAAGGCAAATCTGTTCAACACATCGATTTAAGAAGATTCAAAAGAAACACCATGTTATACCTTTGAGCAACATCACCATTACAAACAGGGAAACAGTTAACGGTGAAAGTTACAGGTGTCTGAAAGACGGAGGGTTGGGGCGCCTCCTTCTGTGGTGATGCTGGCCAAACGGAGCTTCACCCCAAGAACATACTGGGGCCTTTTCGCCTCTCGGCAAGGTGTTATTGAGGTAGAAGGAAAGCAGTGGACATGGGGAAGGGGGAGCAAATGTACAGGGACTTAGGGTTGGTCCTTCCATTTAAAAAAAACCGTCTTCTACTCGCTGCTCGGCGGGAAGCTGGGCTTGCGCGGGAGGAGGCCTCAGTTTGCCTGGATCTTCCTGGGGGCACCGAGCGCGTCCCGGCCCGAGCCCAGCAGCATGCGCTCCAGCCGCTTGCAGTGCTCCCGGAGCTGCTTCTCGCGGGGCAGCAGGAAGGTGAGGACCTTATTGCGCACCACGCCCCGGTCCTCCTCCTCCCTCAGCCGCTGCTTCACGCGGGCCGCCTGCTCCCCTTGCTGCGCCAGCTCCCCGTTCATCTCGCAGAAGGCGTCCTCCAGGTAGTGGATGGCCTTCAGTGCCTCCTTCTTAAAGTCCTCCAGCTCCCGTTGTACCCCGGCCACCTTCTGCTGCAGGCTGTCCAGGTCAGCCGGCGGCAGGAGGCAGGAAGACCAGGACTGAGGGAGGGAAAAGTCTCCGGACTGGAGGCCGCGCTCCACCATCTTCTTCCCTTGTAAGGTGTTCACCTTCATGAGGATGGACCCAGCGTGGTAAAGCGGTTCCATCGTTTCTCTTCCCCGTTTGGACAAAGAGAGGGAGCTAAGAGACCCGTCTGGTCCGTGAATTTATTTATTTATTTATTTGGGGGGGGGGGCCTAGAGACACAATCCTTTGGAGTGGAGAAACCCCACACATTGTGACATCGGGGCCCCTTCAGCCAACCAGGAGGAAAGCCGCAATCCATTCATTTGCATATTGTAGCCTCCCTGGTTGGTTATCCAGGGCTCCGTCTGCTCATCTACCCAAACTGTCTTTCTGTTATATGGATTTTCATCGACTCATCCCCCTCCCAGAACCAGAGCACAGTCTCTCCTTTTACAGGAGGGACGAACCGAGGCCCAGAGCGGGGCAGTAAACGGGCCAGCGCAAGGCAGGCCCGGCCAGTGAGCGAGGAGTGGGTGCTCTCCCATACCCGGTCTCTGGGCCTCGGCTCCTCACAGGGAAACTGACTCCTTGGCCACCTCGGACGTCCTAAGATCTGCACAGCCTTTCCTTGAAACCTCTCCTGAAGCAGGAACTGCCTTCACCCTGTTTTCCTGACCTAGGACCTTGTCCTTCCAGATCCCCGTGGCACAAGAAATTCCATGGGGACATTGTAAGAGATGATGCCTAAGCTCACTTCTAGCTCTAAAAATGCTAACAAGAAAAAGAAAGGAAAGTAATTTCTGATTCCAAATCCATACTCTTTTTTTTGTTGTTGTTAAGCTTTTATTGATTTATTTATTTGTGAGAGAGAGATTGAGAGAGCACAAGCAGGGGGAGTGGAGGGCAGAGAGAGAAACAGGCCCCCCGCCGAGCAGGGAGCCCGATGCGGGGCTCGATCCCAGGACCCTGGGATCATGACCTGAGCCGAAGGCAAACGTTTAACCGACTGAGCCCCCCTCCCTGGGCATCCCCCAAATCCACACTCTTATAACAATGCCAGCATTCTAGATAATCTTAGAAGTTATAAGGCATGTACGTAGGTTTTGATGTGTGGTCCACAGCAGTGCTGAGGGTGAAATCCCATCACTCATTTATTCAGCAAGTACCAAGTGCTCACTCTGCACCTTGACCAGGGAGCAAATGTGAGCAAGAGGGCCTGGTGCCCACTCCTGCCCTGCCGGGTCATGCCTGAATGTCGACACAGATAAGAAAAAAACATACGGAAGGGTGAACCTCGCACTTCTTACCTGAATACTCTAAGAAAGGAAAATGTTTCTAGCTAGGTTATGTCAGTTTAGTCAAGAACAGACCTCTCTCCTGCCTATCTCAATGTCCTGAGCAGACTTCTCTCCTGGCCTCCAAGTGTGAGCATCTCTCCCACACCGTGCCTCAAATCCAATCTATCCAAAGCTGGACTAGTTATCATTTTGCCCAAACTGCTTCTTGTTCCAATAGTGACATTAAACCAATGACGCCAGCGTGGGGTAGCACCCACATGAGAAACCAGGGATCAGCCTAGACCCCTCTGCATCCAAGTGGCTCTGGATTCTGTTGACTTTGCCCTAAGCTGAGCACCCCAGGACCAAACGGCCTGGGCGAGGTCTCAGCTCCACCACCTAAAAGCTGTGTCTCTTTGGCAGATGACCTCACCTCCTCCATAAAGCAGGGACGCTAATTCGGTGGTGTGCAGCTCCCTGGACAATGGGGGGGACGGAGAAGGCTCTGATTTATAGTTGTTGGCGATTTCCATGGTGTGAATACTCCCACCATGGCTGTTTTTGAGCTACCCACATGACGTCTCTGGGTAGAAGTGCACACAGCCAGCTCTCCTGAGCGGTGCGAGCTGACCCCAGCCCCACATGACCCCTGATGAGGACAGCTACTGTCCCTGGATGAGCACTGACCTAGTGGAGTGCCCCGCAGGAGGCATCAGAGAAGGCATTTTGTAGGGAGGTAATGGCTAAACTAAGGCAGAATTTTGAATCTCAGGATGGGGCAGCAGCTCTAATTATTGAGACAATGTTTGGCGAGAAGAGGACAGCTGCAGGAGTCAGGAGATCGGGAGTATAAAATTGCCGTAGGACCACGGGTCAGTCACCTACCTCCCTTCTCTGTTCCCTCTGGTACCATGTGAGCAGGTGGGAGATAGCTTGTCTGCAGTCTCTAGTTCTAAGATCCACGCAGCTCTTCCTTTGAACTGTTCCTGAGGCACTCACCGCCTTCCCCCTTTTTTTGTGACCTGGGATCTTGTCCTTCCAGACCCTGATGGCACAGTAAATTCCATGAGGACAAGGAGCAGCATTTCTCATCCTATGTACCCGCGAGTGTCCTGCCTGATGCCCTGCACATAATGGCACTCAGAAAACTAGATGAAATAGAATTTATGTTTGTAGGTGGCTATCAAAGCCAAAGACTCCCCTAGCTTTCCCTCTGACATGGCGCCACCTACTGGCCTGAGCGGGAACAGCATGCCCTTTATTCTGCCTAAAATCCAGCCGGGCGGGGGGCCTGGGGAGATGGTGTACACAGGCTTCTGGCTTGTGGTGTACTCGTTAGGGGTGTGTGTGCAGGCCCCGCACATAGTAGGTTCTCGATGAGTATTTTTTTTTTAATCAGTGAAAGAAAGAACGTGTGTCTGTCTTCTGGTTTCTGTCATTTTTTAGTGTCTTTTCTGTTTGTGCCTCTTTCTCTCTCTCTCTCTCTGATTCGGATTCTCTGCCTCTTTATCTCCGTCCCCCAAAGGGAATGGTGGAAGTCATAACCAGAACTATGGAAAAAAAGTAGCAAAAGTTAAGAAAGAATGGCAGTCTCTAATCTCCCTGGTGCTCTTTAAGGAGCTTTCAGTTCATTGCTCCTCGGAACCAGCCTGGGAGGACCACTTCCACACGAGCCTCAGCAGAGGTTGAGGGAGAACGAGCATTCTGCCCACAGGAGACCCCAGGCTCGGTGGCCTCCCGAACCTTCGGAGAGTCCTCAGCAGGGACGACCCCATGTGCACACGCTCTGAATGTTCTCCCCCCGAAGTTCTATCATCCAGGGCTGTGCTTTCCTCACAAATTTCCTTCCAGTCCCAGGAAAGGAAGGAGGCAGATCGATTTGGCTCCTTCAGGATGGCAAGGGCAAGGGCTTCTAGCATCTCTGGCAAGGCATTTCCAGCCCACTGTCAAGAGGGTTTCCCTGCCCCTGGCCTGTTTCTGCAGCTCACAGGCTCCCCACATCTCCAAAAACTGGGGAGATGGGGGGCAGGGGGAATCAACCCCACAGAGATCCAGACCCCACCCCCTGAGAATCAGACAACCTGAATGGGTAGGGGCTCAGGAGTGGGCATGTTTTAGGAGGTCCAGGGTTGGGCACCCCTGGATCGGAGCACATTCCTGCTGGTCCCTGCCCACCCCTGGAGAATGGAAACCACCTTCCCCAGCTTCTGCCATGCATGCCCTCCCATGCTTCTGCCTCTGTGTGTGAAATAAACCTTGATCCTTTTGAGGCTCAAGAAAAGGGACACAACACAGGCGCACTCCTTCACATATGTCTCTTTCTTTCTTTCTTTTTAGCGAGAGAAAGAGAGAGAGCACAAGTAGAGGGGAATGGTAGAGGGAGAAGTAGGCTCCCCACTGAGCAGGGAGCCTGACGCGGGGCGGGCTCAATCCCAGGACCCCGGATCTTGACTGAGCAGAAGGCAGACGCTTAACCAACTGAGCCACCCAGGTCCCCTCGTATGTCTTTATTTATTTTTTAATTTATTTACTTTAGAGAAAGAGAGAGAGTACAAGCATGAGGGGCAGAGGGAGAAGGAGAGAGTCTCAAGCAGACTCTGCACTGAGCGCAGAGCCCAACGTGGGGCTTGATCTCATGACCGTGAGATCACACCCTGAGCTAAAACCAAGAGTTGGATGCTTAACCAACTGCACCACCCAGGTGCTCCTCATGTATGTCTTTTTAAAAGTGAGGGAAACCCTCCAAAGCTCCTCAGAGCCCCATTCCTAACCCAAGCACTGGCTGGGGGTTGGAGGTCCTGCAGATAGCTCACACTAATCACAGTTCCCCTCCTGGGCTGGGTCTGGGCCTCGCCTCCCTGAAGCACCTGCTTCCAAATACAAGGACTACACTGGGATTCTGTGCCCAAGCGAGATGGGGAGAATAGGCAACCAACTGGGGCTTCTGCAGAGGATAGTTATATTTGCAGAGGAAACAGCAGAAGGCCCATGCTTAATTCCCCCAAATGAATTACTAATGTCAGCTTTCAGGCGGAGTAGAGAAACAGTCTTCTAGGAATTCCTGAAAACCGGTCTATCTCTCCCCATCCCAAGAAAAAGTTACGGAAAAAAAAAAAAAAGAAAAAATTAGAGCAATCTCTCACAAACACTGAAAACCATGTGGTTGGACATTTCTAAAGCAGAGAGAACAGCTGTTGGCCCTATCCAGAACATTCTTTTCCCAGAATCCCCTGGGCCTGGGCCTCTGTCAGCGGCAGCTGGCCTGGGTGAGGATGCGGCTACCCAGCCAGCGTCTCCCCAGATGTGCCCCTATCAACAATAGCAATCTTGACACGGTGCATTTTAAATCCTATAGAGGATCTTCCCCGTGTCTGTCCATCCACCCCCACCCCACCCCCCCCACCCCCCGCCCCAGCCACCTGGCCCGCCTTCCATTCATCCATCCATCCAGGCGCGTATTCGGTGACATTCGCTGAGTACCGGCCCTGGGTACACTGAGTCAGCAAACAAGAGAGAGAAGACCCCTGTTCTCAAGCCGCTGGCGTTTCAGTGGAAGGAGACAGACAATAAAGTGAAGCAATCAAGAAATAAGGTGATTTGGGCTGGTGCTAAGTGCTCAGAAGCAAGGAAACAGGGCAGGGTGACCGAGAGCCTGGGGCCAGGGGCGTTCAGGCAGGGCCTTTGGGAGGGCGGGCATTTGGGGTGAGACAGCAGGGGAATATGCCTGGGAGTCACATTCGGAATGGAAGCACAAGTGGGAAGGCTTGCAGGCAGGAAAGGGCTGGAGGAATTTAGAAGGCCTGGGTGAGTGGGGGCCACGAGGAGGAGGAGGGGAGGGGAGGTGCGGGGGCCCCGCCGTGGAGAGACATGGGGTGGTACCCCCAGTGTCCCCCGTGCAGCACCAGG